TAGACTTTCTAAGGCTGAAATCTTTATGGAAACAGACTGCCATATCTTTCTCCTGCGGAGCAGCTGGTGGGTTCCAACCGCTGACCTTTCCCCTTCAGTTAGCAGCTGAGCGCTTAACCACTGTGCCACCAAGGTTCCACAGAGTCCTCAATTTTCATACCAATATTGATTATTCATCAGATAATGCTATATTTGTGCTTTCAATAGGGTGTTTGCATTTGTTGCCCTCAGAGGGTCAGACCCAGGACAAAGAAAGTGCACCTCCAGGGTGGAGTTTGATGGAGTCGAACAAGCTGGCAATCCTGAGAATGATGCGGGACTGAGCAGCGTTTCATTCTGTTGTACATATGGCTGCCGTGACACAGAGTCGACTTGATGACACCCATCCAACTATCCATCTGTCTATCTATCATCTACCTATCTAAGGAGCCCTGGTGGTGCAACACGTAAGCACTCGGCTGCTAACTGAAAGGTTGGTGGTTCAAAGCCACTCAGCGGCTCTGCAGGAGAAAGACCTGGTAATCTCCTTCTGTGAAGATTATCACCTACAAAACCCTATGGGATGGTTTACTCTGTCACATGGGCTCGCTATGAGTCGAAAATTGACTTGACAGCACCTACCAACAACATCTAGCTAGCTAGCTAGCTGTCTATCTAGGTAGCTAGCTAGCTATCGTGAGATATTTCCCTGTAGCTGATCTTTCCTAACCAGCAGAACATTCTCCACAATTCATGTTTTCCCCAAGCGTCCCCAGCCCCCAGCTCTCTAAACAGGTAAGGTCTAATTTGCCTCAAAAGGAGTTGGCTGGCCACGCCCTTTGTCCCTGCAGGTAGCTTTGGCAGTCCCTGGTCACTCCCAGGAACTCAGCTGTCCTCGGATGCCAGATGCTGGGCTGCCTAGGCCCTAGCTCTGTCCAGCACAGACCACCGCAGGTGTGTGGTCAGAGACACTCAATGTCTTCTCTCCAGGCCTCTGGCTGGGATGTGGAGGCTTTGGAGGCAAAGTTTATAAAGCCAGTAGTGAATCACATCAGGACAAGGTTAAAAAGGAGGCAGGACGGAGTAAGGGATAAAGTACCAGAGACTAGAGAAAAATACTAAGCAGGCCATGAACAGTGAAGCTTCATCCCGTGCTTCTGTTGCACTCTCAGTTTGGATGTGGCCTGATGCTGGCCGACAAGGTCATTAACCAGCAGTTTCCCTGACAGAGACTCCTGACTTTCACTCATCACTAGTTTTCCTTCCAGGGACAAAGCTCTTCTGATTTGCACGCTAAGGGGTAAGAGGTGGTTGGAAGCTAGGGCCTCTGTGCGGGTGAAGGATGGTGAAGGAGAAGCCAGGAGAGAGGGTGGCAGGCACAGAGGGTGCCATCTGCCAGCTGCTGGCCCTCTGCACTTCCCTTGGAGGCCACACCTGGACCCACACTGGAGGGCTCTCAAGTATGTGTGTTGTTTGGTGTGTGTGTGTGTGAGAGTGTGTGTATGTGGTGTAGGTGTGTT